ATATGCAAAATTGTAGACCTTCATTTCTTGGAGGACATCAATGTGGTTATCATTATTTGGAGGAGAGCGTGATTTTGCCTTTCCAAAAATAACTTCGCACACAGAAGGGACCCACTGTAAATCTCACAGAATTAACTGCTGCCGCTCGAATCGAATCGAGCTGCGTAGAGCTGCTACTACAGCGATATCTTGAGTCGAGTTTTTCTGTAGACTGACTTTTTTATTATCACTACTATATCGTACGAGCGCGCTGCACTGCGCTACCATGCTAGACTTTTCTGCCTTCATTAATACAAAATTTTCATTTGAAACTTTTACATGCCAAGCAGCCAGAGTCAGCCAGCTAGCGAGCTATGTACATATGTATGTATTTATGCACATACATATGTATATGCAGTTAAACCGCTCGAGCCGCACGTATTGTAAAATGACTGACGGCAAAATACTCACATAAATAATAACAATTTCAAAACAACTGACTGACGTTGGATGATGACTTTGAATGTGGGTACATCAACGAGTACGACGACGACGACGAGTACAAGTACGAATAAGTAAACAAATTTTTTCTCATCACCCGGTATCATAATAAAAATTGCATTGCATTGTTGGAACGACAGTTGATATTGTTGTAGCTTCTTCTTCTTCTTAGTATTTTCCCTCATTTTTATCATCAGCAACAGTTTTAATTTTTCAAGTCGCTTTTCTTCCATGAGATTTACCTCGTTTATGTGAATTTTCGCCCAGTACGACTCGTTCGTCGTCAGTGACAACAGTCGAGCAAAGCAACTTACTGCAATTTTACTACAGTGCAAAAATTCCAACATTGTTGCTCTTCCAGTTGACAAAACTGAGTTGGGAAAATTACGTGTATGTACATATGTTTGTATGCACATGCGCACATATATATGTATGTATGTACATAAGACGTATGCGCGACTCGATTTGTTGAAGATGCGAACTTAAACTCTGAACTGTTGAAAAGCGGTCAGATTTGAGATGCTTTAAACTGTAGTCTTATGAGGAAAGGAGAGTTTATTTATTTGGCTCGTATGAGGTCCAACGCTTAATACCTATACCATTTCATAGAATTTGCTGGGCAAGCATTTGAAATATCACTTGAGACAGGCGATGGACAAGTGTTTCACATATATTTAGGCGTATGAAAAGGCTTAAGCGGATTTAAATAAATCTTTATCTAGTTGATGGGCTAAGGAAGAAAGATAAAGGGACTATCCTGAACCCCCGTAATAACACTCTAACAGCCAGGAATCCTTTGGATATACATACACCTCTATAATTAGACCCAATCGTCCTTGACTACGATGACCATCCGCCCTGTTTTATACGGGACAGTCCTCTTTATTTATTTATTTTATACGGGACCCGAAATGTTCTGTACTTCTTTTAATGTCCTGTATTTGTATAATACCAAATTTCCAACTTTGTGCAAAAAACTATAAAAAAATTAATTCTGCAATGTTTCACCAAAATCTGAAATTTTTACTTACTTTGTATGAAAACAAGTAAGAAAGTCTACGTTCGGGCGGAGCCGAACATTAATTACCCGGCGCAAGTATTAAATATATGCTTTCCACCTTTCCGAAAGCTACCGCTACATGATAAGTCGGTGTCAAAATTTTAAGTAAATTAGCGTCCTTAAATTTCGAAATATTGAAATTTCAAGCGTTTCTGAAATTTACCGTTATATGAAAAGCGGCCGTAATTTTTGACCGATTTCAACAATTTTCAACGGTTTGCTAGAACGATTAGGGAGATACATATATGTGATCACAAGTGGGCGGTGCCACGCCCGTTTTCCAAAATTTTATCATAAACGTATTTCTTGGTAAAGAATTGTTGCAACCATCAATTTTGAATAAATTAGCTTTAATTATCGATTAGCTTGATTTATCGAAGATTTTGTATTTCTCGAAANAAGTGGGCGGTGCCACGCCCATTTTCCAAAATTTTATCATAAACGTATTTCTTGGTAAAGAATTGTTGCAACCATCAATTTTGAATAAATTAGCTTTAATTATCGATTAGCTTGATTTATCGAAGATTTTGTATTTCTCGAAATTACCGTTATAAGGGATGAGGGCGTGGTTATTGTCCGATTTTAAAAATTTTCAGCCATTTGGTATGCTGTACCAGGACCAACAACTGTGCCAAGTTTAGAAGAAATTGGTGTAGCGGTTACCAAGATATACACATGTAACCATAAGTGGGCGTGGCTACGCCTATTTTCCAAAATTTTTTAATATTCTTATTTTTTGTCTAAAACTCATTGTAAATGTCAATTTTGAGTGAATTATCTTCAGTAGTTCCTAAATTTTGGCAGTTTTCGTATTTCTTAAAATTACCGTTATATGGGAGGTAGGCGTGGTTATTGTCCGATTTTTATAATTTTCGGCCATTTAGTATGCTGTACCAAGGCCAACAACTGTGCCCAAGTTGGAAGAAATTGGTGGAGCGGTTACCAAGATATACACATATAACCATAAGTGGGCGTGGCTACGCCCATTTTCCATAAATTTATAATATTCATGTTTTCCGTCTGAAACTCATTGTAAGTATCAATTTTGAGTGAATTATCTTCAGTAGTTACTAAAATATCGCAGTTTTCGTATTTCTTAAAATTACCGTTATATGGGAGGTAGGCGTGGTTATTGTCCGATTTCGCCCATTTTCAATACCATCCGTCCTACGCCCAAAAGAAGTTCACGTACCAAGTTTCGTTAAGATATCTCAATTTTTACTCGAGTTATCGTGTGCACAGACGGACGGACGGACGGACGGACGGACGGACAGACAGACACCGCTTAATCGATTTCTCTTTTCATTCTGATCATTTATGTATACATTTGTCTATATCTATCTCGATTCGTTTTGCCTGTTACAAACAACCGTTATGTGAACAAAGTTATAATACCCTTGTGCACAAGTGCGCTCGGTTATAAAAATGCGTAACACTGTCAACAAAAACAAAAAAAAAATTGCCAAAGATGAATGGTAAGCCTTAGCGACCTACATTTAACGAATTTTTTAAACAAATTTTACGAGGAAAAAACCTCGAGAAAATTATCCTACAAATTTGTGATATTACTAAAAGGATACTGTTTCAGGGCTAACACATCTAGGATCATTGAAGAAGGCTTTAAGATCTGTTAGCTGTTGTGGAAAAAATTTGAAAAATTATATTTTGTCCCGTATTCGGCTCTCATAAATATGGTCACCGTAGCCATGACGCATGTGTTTGGTGGAGTAGATTCTCAATAAAAACGGTGGGAAATCAGCTCTCCAAACTTCAAAGTATTTAGTGTTACTGTGTTTTGTATGTTCGGCTTCTCTACAACTCCTGAAGCTCGGAATGGTGCGCGACTAAACTTATACTAGTTTCACATATAAGTAGATTATCCTCATTTTCGAGCTTAACACCCTAATCTGTAATTATAACAAGAGATTAGCCATATAAAATTCGTCCCTTGTTAATCTGTAATTATAAAATAATCTCAGATTTAACCGATAACTTTTCGGTGTCCATCCTAGTTTTATCGATTGTTTTTGCGAAAGAGAGGAGAAATGCCAAATGTAAAAGTAAACGAAAATGTACGCTAGCAAGTAAAAGAGGTTTGTAAAGGTATTTTTAATAAAATGTTAAGTTAAAATATATTTATATTGCTTATTATAGCAGAAAAACGTGATCACGGTGGCACAGAGAAGAAACATAACTTTTCCTTGAGATGTGAGAATAACAAGCACAGCAAATTTTGACGGCTGATAATCTGAGATTTGCCTGTGTAAACGGGGTGATTAAAAAACGAGCTTTGATTGAGATAATATTGATATGTGAACATAGTTTGAGAGTCTCTCAACTCCATTAGTAGGCTTAAAATATGCTGCTGTGATTCAGTGTGGCGTAAGGCGCAATCACTGGAGGCAGTGATCACAGCTAATGTTTTTCAGGATAGTATGTAATCACTATGTCTGCGGAGAAAATATTACAACCAGAGACTATAACGATTATAAGAAATAAAACTAAATATTGTGCATAATTATTACTGAACAATGGAAAAGTTGTTTTCGTCTCCTGAGACGAAAATCGTTACGACTAAAAACTTTTTCATCTTCTAATAATTATCTGTGACATTTACTTTTTTCGTCTCGCGAGACGATTATTTTATCATGGACATTATTTTCGTCTTCTCATAATAATTTTTGGGGGCTTTAATTTTTTTCGTCTCGCGGGACGTTTATTTCAAGACGAAAATGTATTAATTATGTAGGAAATTTATTTTTTTCGTCTCGTGGAACGTTTATTTCAAGATGAAAATGATTTACGTTTTCACTTAATAATTATATCGGACTTTTAATGAAATGCAACTTCTTAATTGAGTTCGGAGATTTAACACGTTAAATACTTAACGCCACGATTGTTCATGTTATGAAATCTATCATTCTTTCGATTTTCAAAAATGTGGTGTAAAATTAAAGGGCTTTGCTTTTAAGACCACGGGGTACCTAGTAGGTAATTAGAGTATAGGTAAATGATTCATTGTACATACATATGTGTCCCGCGCGACAGCCACGTTGCACTTTTAGACCGCTTATGGGTTAAGACCAATTATTTCTTGGTTTAAAATCATTTAAGGTTAAGGTTGAAATTCACTCGGAAGTGAATTTTAGAATCTGCCTGATTGTCTTATCCACTGCGATGGAAATATAAGGTAGAGAAGTTCTTGATTTTTACTGCTATAACGTATTTTTAAGCCGACTGAGAATTGCAGACGAATGAAATAATTGACAGGTGGCGAAGAAAAATTATTAGCTGCCGCTTATGCTAGTCTCCCATATTTTCAAGACAGTACTAGCGGTATGCGTAACGATTTAAAAATTGTATAAGCCAGCTGGGAATTGCAGACGAATCCAGCTTTAAGCAACTGGTAGTAGTAGATCTGTTAGTTATTACTGCAAATGACTTACAAACATGGCAAAACCTTCCAAATTACTACATGCTTTGAGATCGCCCAAAATGCCTCCTCTTGCGGCAGCAGCGAATGCAAACACCTTGCTCATGTGCAGTTTACAACCTAATTTTATTCGTATATTTCTGTTGTCCGATACTAGGTCGACTCTCGGAATTGATGTTACACAACAAATGAGCTTTTACTGCTCGTATTCGATTTTATGCATCAGCGAGTGTTTTTGTTATTATGAAAGTTTGTCGTTAGTACTACGAGTATGTAGTAGTGTTCTCTCTCATTTACGCTACCTTCGCTCGCCTTTGTCTTATTATCCATTCTAAGCTACGCTTGCAACTGAAATAAATTTTATCACTTCAGTTTAAGGCCGCAACAGCATCCTTTAGAGCTGTTGTGCGCCACCTAGCCAGGCTAACTCACTTGTGCATGCGAATTGGTAATAGTGTCACAACGTACATCGTACATACAGAGGAGCAGCTATAACGTGAGTTAAAGCTGAAGCACAACACCGGCGAACGGCAAATTTTTCGTCGCGAATGTTCGCCGAGATAATTAAAACACACTGATTTATATGAGAACGCGCACAACCAAAGCAAACGGCGAAGTTTGCTCGACGACTGTTCGCGACGATAGATTTATTTCTAACGCCGCGGTCAACGGCAACGACAAAAAAAGGCCATGATGACCATACTTTAAAAGTTATCGTAATTTTTGTTTAAAAGTAAGATAATATACCTTATATTTTTCTATCAGAGATTAATCTAGTAAAACGTAAGTTTACTAGTAGTTATATTTAAAGACTATTTCTATATTTTAAACTTCTTCTTGCTGGTATTTTCCCTCTTCGTTGTAAAAGCTTCCTTCTTATCAGCTGACAGCATTCGAACCGCTCGATACCGCTCTATTTGTGTTTCAGTAAGCGAATTAGCTGGGCGAAAGTTGGTCGTCGGCATCGCTCTGCTGGGCGAAATTTGCCGTTCGCCGGGTATTGTGTTTCAAGCATTATACAAATATGCTATGCATATGTAAATATTTATAAGTGTATGTGTATGTTTTTGCACCGACATACATACATACATACATATATGTAGAGGTATATACTTGTGAAAGTACTGGTACATGGCCCACCCACTTTTTATAAATGTAAATAGAAATGTCGATGTACACCCATTAGGAATGCCGAAATCTCATACAAAAAAAGGACTTATGGCCGCGCCAGAATGGGTAATTTGCGTACGTTCCGCTCAAGGATGAAACTGACAGTTGAGCAGACTGTGTGTGCTTAGATTGAAAGCGTCAGATTGGCAACTCTCGTGCGCCGACGGATCCAACCAACATTGGCCAACACTCTTGTTGTATAACCTTGCGTTTACACAATACAAGATAATTGGGAATATGTATTAATTTTCACATTGCTTGAGTAAAGTACGTCCAGACAATAAACTGTTTGCGAAATGCCAAGAAGAAGAGAAGTGTTAATATTTAGTAAAAAAAAGTGAATGTTTTGCAATTGTATCTGCTAGGTGCGACGTACAAGTACCCATCCTGACGGGCCTTTTATCCTTCTAAGTATTTTAAGTATTGCAGATCTCTTTACCTTGTTTCCAATGGAATAATGCTTTCGTTTACGAAGAGCCTTTCATTAAGGCTCTGCTTTCAAAAATTACAGAAAATAAATAATTCAATCGAAATACATTCTATCATATCATTAAAAAAGGCGTGAGTATTAGGTACTCATAAAATTTGATGTGTAAACATATGCGAACGTCAAAGCATGAAAGTACGTTTACATATACAGCGAGGCGACGATTAACTTTTACCCAGGTTTTTTTGAGAAAAAAATGGTTCTTTATAGATTTTACGAAAAAAGTATTTTAATGTTAATTTTCCACAGAATGTACTTCAGTTGTATTAACTAGTTTTTAAATTTTAATCCCTACTTTATTCCACATCTTCTGTAACCATAGGCTAATTTTCGCCATTTTGAGTCTCTTATACTCCCCCTTCTTTCCAGCATAAGACCTCATATGCAAAAATCTAATAGACTCGGAACTGGTGACTAGGACTGCGATTCATTGGAACAACCCTATACAGTTTTTCTTTTTTTTTTGTCATTTTTTATACAATGCCTTAAATGCGAAAATACACCTGAAAAAGACTTGCGTGGCAGATGAACTTTTCTCTCAAAGTTTACACTGCTGGCAAATGTAAATAAGGATTAAAATTTAAAAACTAATTATTACAACTANATGAACTTTTCTCTCAAAGATTACACTGCTGGCAAATGTAAATAAGGATTAAAATTTAAAAACTAATTATTACAACTAAAGTAAAATCTGTGGAAAATTAACAATAAAATACTTTTTTTCGCAAAAGCTATAAATGCCCCTTTTATTTCTCAAAAAAACCTGGATAACTGTTATTCATCGCCACGCTGTAAATATAATCTCAATCAAAGCTCATTAGCTGTCAAATTTGTTGTGCTTGTTATTATCACAACTCGAGGAAAAGCTAAGCTTTTTTTCTGTGCCACCGTGGTCACTTTTTTCGGCTATTATTTAAATATATTTTAAATATTTTTTAGCTGATATTTAAATATGAATATTTTATTAAAAATACCTTTACAAACCTCTTTTCCTTGCTAGCGTCAATTTTTGTTTATTTTTACATTTGACATTCCTCCTCTTCTTCGCATAATCGATAAAACTGGGTTGGACACCAAAAAGCTATCGGTCTAATCTGAGATTATTTTATAATTATAAATTTGTATGGCTAATCTCTTTTTCTAATTACAGATTAGGGAGTTAAGCTCGAAAATGAGGATAATATTTTTATATAAAATATCGGTATAATTCATAAAATATGATACTTGCATATACTTGTGAATCAAGGGCGTTAAAATATCTTGAAAACACGGCATCAATTACTGTTTTTGAGCTTGTTGTTTGAGCATATCTATTTGTATATATTCCTAAATTTAGTTTTTCTTTTAGGAATATGATTTGTGGTTCTGCTTCATCTGTCGCTAGGTTTACGTCAAAGTCATGAATACATATAGCATACCATCTTTTGTTTGCAAAATGGGAAACTAAATTCATTTGTTCGGCATTTCCTCATCCAATTAAAAAAACGTCCTATAGCAAAAGAGAAGGCACGCCCCTGTTACTCACTTTCGCTGCAATTATAACGAGTTGTCCCTTCTTGTTATCTACGTTCTTTGGGCATGCCTTACTCGCACCAATGCTGTGCACTCGCAAAGATAGTGTAGGAAGGTTTCTTTATTAAATATTATTTTGCGTGTGTAATACGCTGTGTGGGCTTAATCTTCCCGCCTTTCTATTTTTGTCTTCCAGCTCAGTCTGGTGTCTTATACGAAACCCAAGTATTTCGTCTCGGAGGACACTGTGAGGGTAGTCACAATAAGGGAATAAGCTTGAATTTTGGTATTTTTTGTTTTCTCTGTAAACTGTATCAGGGGGTTGATACCCAGGTCACTTTTTGTGCCCTAGGTGTTCAGCCCGAGTAAAGCTCCCTCTAGGACTTGGCTAGGGGAAGAGACCTGATACTACATCATCTGCATATGCTACTATGTTCACTCCACTTTTGTAGAAATCCAGTAGAATGCCGTTCAGTGCGACCACCCATTGTAGCGGAGACAGAACTCCCCCTTGCGGAGTGCCTCTATTCGCTTAACGGGATAGTGTTACTGACCCATGGTTGAAATTATAATTCTCTTTCCACCTTTACAAGGGATCGAACAATTGCTTCGATTTTAATGTTATTGGAGGCCCCCTCTATGTCTTGGAAGGCCGCCAACGTGTACGGATTGTGTTAAGTCCGTGGATCTGATCCCCTCTGACCAACGGCTAATGGATTAGGCTGACAGTGCTGGAGTGCAGCAGATTAATATGTACTCACCTCATCTGCATCGGGGTTTGCATCAGCGATGTTGACGAACTTAAGCAACTGGATCGCATTGTCGACCTCCTCGGTGTCGTCTTCGTCATGAGCCTCGTCGCCTTGAAAGATCTTCATCGTGGCCATGCGGATGCCAAAGTGAACTTTGTTGGCGCCTTTGACAGAGCCTTAATGAATTCTTCGCAAATGGCCAAAAGAAGAGGTATGTTGATTTTAGTTGGTTTCTCAACTTTAATAAGTTGCGTGTATGTTACCATGTAGGTAGGTAAGTACAGATTTTCCGCGATTCCTTGACAGTTTTATGCTAAAAATGAGAAACGACATTTAAAATAGCTCACCACTGATTGTGAGCTAATTCCTTCTAAAATGCGTTTTAGTTCGTATTAAATTCTTCAGTTCTTTTCTATGGCTTTCATACTCGTCATATCGCGATTTCCAGTTAAAATGGAATCATATCCTACATATCGATGGCTGAGTGGACGATCGACCTATCTCGGCAGCCAGTTCAAAAACGCCCTCTCTCAGGAAATTTTTTCTAGAACGCCCTATTTCAGGATTTCGTTGAAGAGCGCCTTAATTTAGAATTTGATTGAAAATCGCCCTATCCCAGAATTCAGTTCAAAAACGCCCTATCAATAGGTCGATCTTCCACTCAGCCATCGATATGTAAAGATCTAAGATCTGCACCATTCGCTAAATATTCAAAAATTGGGTGTCAAATAAAGCGCTTGGCCCGTAGTTGTGTAAACTGGTTTTTTTTTTCTAAAAAAGTTACCACCTGTTCAACAATTAAATTCCAAATATTTAATAATCAATGCCCTCATGTTCGCTCCGTACCTTAGGTTTTTCAACATCAGGTGTAAAATTAAAGGGTTTGCGCTGAAGATGGGCAATAAAGTTTTACTTTTTTGAAAAAAGTTGCCACCCTTTAAAAAACTATATTCAAATTATTCAAAAAGAAAAAAAATCAATTATTACAAATTGGGAATCAATCGAAATGGCTTTGGAAAGCTTTGTTCTCAGCTTAACTATAANTAGGGACTATAACCCTCACAAAGTAACATTCTCCTTCCTGTGCTGCCGAAGAAGATTGGCTGACCTTTTGCAGAGAACACCTTACACAGTATACATTACGAAGTAAATATACAATAATAATACACTTAAAATAGGTAAAATGTAAATGTTTTAATTCAAATATATAGACATAATGAAAGCTTATTTTCTCCTTTATGTGATTAGCTAATTTTTTTATGTTGTCAACGACGTGATTTAATAACAAAAGNCCGTCTAAAAGGTCAAATTTAATTAACTAATACAAAAATTATATGAGTTATAAAAATACAGGAGTCAAACGAATGATTATTAAAAAATCTTTAGTTTGAACATTTGGAAAGTTTGAAGAGAGTTGCCACGTGTTTAAAAAGTTACATTTAAATTATTTAATAAGTGGGATGAATTATTAAAAAATAGTTATCAACCGAAATGGGTTTGAAA